TTTTCCTTATTTCATTTATTTATTTATTTATCTCAGGCTGGCTTTGAACTTAGTAAGTAACCAACCTGAACTTCCAATCCCCCTGCCTCCACAACTGTGGTTACAAGTGTGCACCATTACAATTTATATGGTGCTAGGGATGGAATCCAAGGCGTTGTGCATGTTAGGCAAACACTGTGCCAAGGGGTTACCTCCCCAGACTCCACTCCCTTTATCTTATTTTTACAGGGCTGGGAATCAAACCTATGCCCTTGCACATGCTAGGCAAATGTTTGACCCCTGACCCACATCCCTAGCCTTCTGACTTCTTTCCAAAAATAGCATCAAGGGGGCTAGTGAGACACCTTAGCAGTTAAGAACACTTGCTCCTGCGGAGGACCCGAATTCAATGCCCAGCATATGGTGTCTCACAAACATCTGTAACTGCATTTCCAGGAATTCAGGAATTCAAAGATTTCTTCTGACTTCTGCAGTCACATGGTGGTACACACACATACATACAGACAAAACATTCGAGTCTCGCCGGGCGTGGGTGGCGCACGCCTTTAATCCCAGCACTTGGGAGGCAGAGGCAGGCGGATCTCTGTGAGTTCGAGGCCAGCCTGGTCTACAAGAGCTAGTTCCAGGCCAGCCTCCAAAGCCACAGAGAAACCCTGTCTCAAAAAACCAAAAAAAACAAACAAAAAAAACCATTCGTCTCTCTCTCTCTCTCTCTCCCTCTCTCTCTCTCTCTCTCTCTCTCTCTCTCTCTCTCTCTCTCTCTCTCTCTCTCTCTCTCTCTCTACACACACACACACACACACACACACAGAGTAGCATAATGGATGAGCTCAAAGTCTTGGTTTTGTGTTTGGATGCAGAGAGGTCCAAACTTACCCTCTCTGAACTCCACCTACTGAGAAACTTTTTTCTTTGTAGCATCTACAGAAAAGATGTACATAAGGGGCTAGGACCTGCTATCCCTGTTCTGAGACTATTTGAGATTGAAAAGGGTGAGCCAGCCATAGAGACATTTCAGAAAGTGCTATGCAACCTTGTTGAGGGGTATGAAATGGGGTGGGGTTGGGGAGCGGGGGACTAGTAGATTACCATAGTGTGTGTGTGGGGTGCCCTATGCCTATGACTTAATTCTGTGTTGTCACAATTTAAGTTTCCATGTGTTTTCCTGCTTAAACAAAGTCCACCGTTCTTTTATGGTCATTTTTGGATTCGTTAGGATGGAGTGGTCTGCCTGAATCTGAGAGTTTTAGGGGCTGGAGTTTTATAGGGACCTGATAGTTTCCTAAGGCCTGTAGGTTTGACAAGGAGCAGGATGACCCAAGGTTGGGTATTAGCAAACAAGGTTCTCAGAGAGAAAGAGAAATGAATGAATGAGACTATCTAAAGCTTCACACAGAGTGAAGAAGGAAGGAAGGAACGTGGTGGCCTCCTAAAGTGTGAAGGATAGAGGAACTACTGGTAGAAGTAGCTCGCTGCCCTCATGGAGGAAAAGGCCGGACAGGGGTCCGGAAAAACGCTCATTTGGAGTCAACTGCTACTATTATTACCTTTATCATGGTGAGTTTTGTTTCCTCACATGCTAGCTCTTTGCACACGCTCAAGCTGCGGGGTGCCCAGGGCCGTGCCCTGCATAACCCAGTTACCCCGGAGGGGCGCGCCCCAAACAAGTTTGCACTTCGCGGCAAGCTCTGCAGCTGTCTGGGAGGGGCAGCGTCTCAACACCATGGACTACATTGCCCACAATGCCTCGCGCGCCGCCATCTCAGCTGGTGGGCGGTGGTCGTCTGGGGTCCGGGCTATTGTAAGCCGGAGAGCAACTCTACAAACTCCCACCCGGACTTCTCCTTGAGAGGCGTGAGACAGATTCAAGTAGGGTGTCCCGGCACCTGGACAGTTGCTGAACGCCTTTGCACTACCCCATCCCCGGAAGCCCCGTCCACGTGTCGGCCGGCGCGCGGAAGTCCCCTTGTCCCTTGCTGACCAAGGGTCTCGCACGTTCCTCACCAGATTTGCGCCCATTCGGCCTTATGCATAGAGCTACTCTGTTTCTGCCTCAGTGACAGAATGAGACAGGGTCAGAAAAGGACTATGGGCCTGGCGGGCGTGCAGATCCAGGCACCCGGCACCTAGAAGTCTAGGTTTGAGACCAGAGATTAAGTTAAGGGGGGCCGACAGACAGTCCCGGACCCTGTAAAGTGGATCCTCCCCTATCCCCTTTCAGGAGGCGGGGTTGGGGAGAGGGGGCCTGTAGCGGGGCTGGCCCTTTAAGGGGGTGTGGTCGGGGGGCGGGGGAAGAAAGCAAGACAGAGAAAGCGGCGGCGGCGGCGGCTCGGGCGGCGGCCGCGGGGGACAAAGGGCGGGCGGATCGGTGGGGAGGGGGCGGGGCGCGGCCAGGCCAAGCCCGGGGGCTCCGCATGCTGCAGCTGCCCCCGGGCGCCCCCGCCGCCGCCCTCGCCGCGGAGCCGCGCAGAGCGGAGTCCGCAAGCTAACCCGAGCCAGCGGCCCGGAGCCAACCGGCGGGCGTCCGGGAGGCGGCGGCGCAGGGAGGGGCCCGAGCGCGCACGTGGCCCCGGTGGCCGCCATGGCGGACAGCGGCCCCGCGGGGGGCGCGGCGTTGGCTGCCCCGGCCCCCGGGCCGGGCAGTGGGAGCACAGGGCCCCGCGTCTACTTCCAGAGTCCCCCTGGGGCTGCAGGCGAAGGCCCGGGGGGCGCGGATGATGATGGCCCGGTGAGACGGCAAGGGAAGGTCACCGTCAAGTACGACCGCAAGGAGCTACGGAAGCGCCTCAACCTGGAGGAGTGGATCTTAGAACAGCTCACTCGTCTCTACGACTGCCAGGTGTGCTCCCCACCCCGTGCCGATACCCTAAAATCGGACCTAAGTCGGTCTGCTCAGAAACCCCACCGTCATTCTGTCACCAGTCAGTGGGAGCCCGGCTGCCAAGCCACCCGGCGTACACTCGCCGCTCCCTAGTGTGTGCTTTTTCTTGCCTGACCTGAGTCACTTAGCTTTCACCGCTGCCTCGGACCTTTCGTCCTTCGTGGTACTGCCCCAGGTTAAGCATGGTGTCCTCCTCCCCAAACTTAGAGGGATAGATAGCCTGACCTGGGATTGGAGGTAGGGATGTAGCTGGGCTGACAGTGAAAGGTCTAATCTGGTTAGTCTAGTCTGGGCTGGCATAGACACTAGTTGAAAGGCACAAGTGTAACTGAAGTGCGTGAAGGACCGGAGTTGTTATAGTGGGCTAACCTACCATTCTGTCTGTGGCGACGGGTTGCCAGCTCGCGGCTCTGGTTCCCCACCCCATGACTCCCTGCTTGTTCAGCCAGTGACTCAGGCTCCCAGGAGTAGGGTGGAGGAGTGGGCTTGCCCTGAGATGCCTACCCTAGCCCAGCCCTGGAATGCAGCTGGCTCCAAGTGGGATAGCCCTTCCCTTGGGGAGGGGGTGTACCCCTTTCTCTGTAAAGCATGGGCTCTTTGTTTCCCCTTTATCAAGCATGGGTCTTTCCCATTGACCCCTCACCCTTCACTTCCTTCTCCCTCCCAGGAAGCTGTGACAGGTGTTTGGGGGAGGGGAGGGACTGATGAACTGGGACAGCTGGACCCACCAGAGCTCTGGTGAGCTAGAGGTCCTGGATACGGAGAAGGCACATCTGCTGGGTTCAAAGCCCAAGGTTCCCAGCCCTGTCTGTCTGGCGCCCGTGGTGCCTATTGGCAGGGACAGGAAGTTCCCCCTCATTGGGCAGTTTGCCTTCCCAGAGCAGCTGTTTTCTGCTGGGCAAGGAAGGCTGGTCTAGTTTTGAGTTAGGCAGGGAGGGAGTCCTTTCCACACTCTCTCTGGGCTGAGGTACTGTCCATCTTCCCCACCCCTACCCCAGGAAGAGGAGATCCCAGAGCTGGAGATAGACGTGGATGAACTCTTGGACATGGAGAGTGATGATACCCGGGCTGCTAGAGTCAAGGTAAGCTGAACTCATCCAGTGGAAGGCTGCCTGGAGACATTGTTCCTTGGGGAAGCTCAGCCTTGGTGCCATGCCTTCTTTGGCTTGAGTCATCTTATGCCTCTGGAAAAAATGAGACTCATGGAACTTAGCTATGTTCCTAAGTGGCCTCAGTCCCTTAGGAGGGGGATACATGAACTGTGAGCTCGTCCCAAAGAACTCACTATGTTCTTCCTCACCAGGAGCTGTTAGTCGACTGTTACAAACCCACTGAGGTAAGTCATTTTCCCTGGCCTTAGGGGTGGGTGTGTATGTATGGCAGATTTTCATCTTGGGTCTTAGCCTCCTAACAGCCTCCTCCTATCTAGGCCTTCATCTCTGGCCTGCTGGACAAGATCCGGGGTATGCAGAAGCTGAGCACACCCCAGAAGAAGTAGGGTCCTGACCCAGATGACCATGGCTCCCACAGGACAATCGCTGCCCCCCAACCTCGTAGCAACAGCAATACCGGGAACCCTGCAGCCAGGCCTGGTGCCATGAACAGGGATCCTCATGCCCCTGCCTAGGGGCCACTTCCCTTGCCCTCAGTTTTCCATTTTTGGGGTTTTTTATTGTTATTAAACTGATGGAACTTTTTGTGTTTTTATATTGATTCTGCGTCGCAGGCCCTTTAAAAATAAATCAGGATACACCTTTGGAGCAGCTAACAGGCTTGGCTGGATTTTTTTATAGGGAACACGTTGCTTTTCAATTGTCACCAGCTTAGCTGCTCCCCAGGTGACCACATGCCATGATGATAACCCATGCTGGCCACCAGCAGTCTTAAAAGCTCTGTCTGCATTAGGTAAGGATCTCTAGGCCATTGAGACCCTCAATGGCTGCACCTCAAGGCTCTGCAATTATCAGGAAAATGAGACTGAAGCTGGTTTTGTTCTCTTCCCCATGTTGGGGATGGGGGGACAGGCACCCACTCACATTAGACCAGTGCCCCCCACTGACCTATTCTCCCAACACTGGCTAAGCCTCTTTAGGATCCACAAAGAAACACAGACTCATTCTTGGGGTTTTAGAGGGTTTTTTTTTTTTTGTTTTGAAGCAGTCTGGTCCCTGACGGGGTCTCCTACCCCTCTGCAGCCTGCTACAGTTCTGAACGTCGCTCAATCTTGAGCAGCTCCACCTCAAACACCAGGGTTGCTCCACCTGAAGGGAGAAATGTGGTCAAACTGGGACCTGGGACCCTGGGAGAGTCATGGGGTTGGGGTGTTAGGGGTATTACCTGGGATCTTTGGGGGAGCTCCCCGCTCTCCATACCCTGTCAAAAACACAAAGACACAAAGTAAGTTGAGGCCCTTGTAGCCCACATAAAGGGTAATCTTGCCATAGGCAGGCAGTATGGAGGTTGGGTGGAAAAGGGCATCACAGGTCTAGTAGAGGGTCACTACAGCTGAGTGTGAGCCTTACCAGTTCTGCTGCTGAACACAGCCTGACTGGGAAGTGGCATAACTACAGTGAGTAGGCAGGGTGAGGACCAATGAGGCTCAAGTGGCTTCAGCCACTCTAGGCACAACTGAGTGCACCCCGACCCCTAACCCCAAGGGCCTCTTACCCAGCTCAGACGGGATCACCAGCTTCCGCTTTTCCCCTTCACACATCCTGCAGGATGACACATGCTCAACATGTGAGGCACCCAGACTTCCAGACCCTGGCCCCACAAATAGGCCTTTCCTCCCGCGGCGTATTTCCTGGATCAATACAACATGTACCCCAGACTCACCCCAGCAGCCCCTGGTCCCAGCCCTTGATGACCTGGCCAGTGCCGAGGGAGAAGACAAAGGGCTGGTTCTGTGGTAGACTGCTGTCAAACTCCGTCCCATCTTCTAGCTTCCCCTGTGGGACCACCGGAAACTAGTAAGGCGAGGTGACCACTTCTGAACCCCCTTCACCCAGCCACTCTCCACCCCATCAATATGGTCACCACAGTACTGGTGATCACATTCCTTAAAAGGGACAATGCCTTGGTAATTCATGTACAGTAATTTTAATGCTAACACCTCGCTGATGAGTACACTGAAAGTCATGGAAAGGAGCTTAGAGGCCAAAGAGGGATGCGTTCAAGATCATCTACCTAATTAAGAGAAGGATGAGATTCCCACTCTCTTCTGGTCCCCAGAAACTGTCAGAGCCCCAGAACCCACACTCTGATACCTACCGTGTAGTGCATGTGTAAGACATCTCCCTTTCTAGACTTGATGGGACAGTGGTCCACGCGTTTCTTCACTCCAATCTGCAGCTTCCGTTTGCCTTCGGCCCCCGTGGCTGTGGCCAGGGCACTCAGGCAAATGGACAGTATTGTCAGGACCCAGCTCAGCCTCATGTCTCTGTAGGCACAGCCCACCTCCCTCAACCAAGGAAGGGGGTCATGGAACTTCAGTCAGTATCTGGAGGATGCCACCCCCATTGTATCTTGCTTGTTCCCGGAGAATTCCACTGTCACCACCCTCTCCCCTGGGCTCTGTGGCCACACTTACCAGTCCAGTGAGAAGGGGGCTTAGCCGAGGACCCCAGCAGCGAGGGGAGGGGGTCAGGGGAGGCCACAGCAGCCAGGGCCCCGCCCCTTTACTCAATACCATATCCTTCCTTCCTCCCGGTACCCATCTCCATTCAGTTCCCGCCAGCCCCTTTACGCAAAGTCCAAAGCTTATCTGGTTGCACCGAATTAGTCCCGACCGTACGACCCCACTCCCGCCACACCCAGCTGCCTCCTGTCCAGCACACCCACACCTCTGCAGCTGCTGCACGTTGCCGGCCCCGAGGCACCCACACATCTCCGCTAGGCGGCTCTGGGGAGCCTCGGTCCTCCGGAGGCACATCCCATCCCGGCCCCGTTCCTTCACCGCCAGGGGCGCCCCCCCAGCTCTGAGCTCTCGGGGGCCTCCGAGGCACCCAGACTGGGCCGGAGTCATCGGGGCGCCGAGCCCGCTCCACCCACACAACCTCTCCAGGGGGAGTTCTCGGTCTACCGCGACCCCAGGCGCGGCCACCACGGAGACCGCCCCCACGTGGACGCCCCGGGCCATTACTCTGGCTTAGCTCTTCGCCAGGCTTCTTGGCCCCGCCCTGCAGGGCGGGTGGCTCCGCCCCCTGACCTGCAGCTCCGCCCTCTGCAGCGGTAGGCTTTTTATCCCGCACAGGTGGCACGCCACTCACCGGTTGAAGCCCCGCCCCCAACGTCTGGTACCCCACGCTCTCAGTCTCCGAACTTAAGGCTCCACCTTCCACCTGCTCCGGCTCCTCCTCTAAACGCCAGACCCCGCCCCCCAGTCGTCCCAGCCTCTCTGAGGGCCGCTGGGCTCCGCCCTCCACACGCACTAGTTCCGTGGTCCCTCCCGCCGCTGTTCCGCGTCCCGCCCCGAATCCCAGGGCTCCGCCCCGTACGGCATGAGAGCCCGCCCCCTGCGGCATTGCCAGACACTGGACCCCAGCCCCAATTCCCTTGTCTGCTATCCCTCGCTGGCACACGGATTCTCGCCCCCTTCTGTCCGGTCTGCCCCAGCCTGCCCTCCTGCACCCGAATCCCCCAGCCCGGGCTGTGGCCCCCCGCTCACCTCCTCACCGCGCCCCCGGAGCCAATCCCTCTCGTGCTGTCACCTCTGCGCAGGCGCGTCCTCGTCGCTACAGGGCGGGACACGCTGCCCGCCCTCATTGGACCGTCCGAAACCCGCTCTTAGGGTGGAGCTTCTCGCCTAGCCCCGCCTCCTGAATTACCATGTGGATAACATCACTTCCGGCGCCCGGGTCACTGGTCGGGTTTGATAAAAATGATTTTTGAAAGACAGAAGGTACTTCTGGCCGAGGTGATATGGTTAAGCAAGAATAAGTACCTTTTGCCCGAGGGGTTCTTTTTTTTTTTTTTTTTGATTTTTCGAGACAGGGTTTCTCTGTGGCTTTGGAGGCTGTCCTGGAACTCGCTTGATAGTCCAGGCTGGTCTCGAAACCAGAGGGGGTTCTTGCCAGCACTGTGCTGACTTCTTTTGTCGTCATGACCGACACGTCTTTCACTAGCTGCTGTGGGAAGAGCTCAGGGTTCCGAGCAACACCCCGGGTTTCAATCCTAGGACTTCTGTTTCTTGGCTGGCTCAGTGATCTTGAGCAAGTTAGTTCTCCTGGTGGTATTCTGTGACACCCATCCCACATGGTCCTGACCCTTTTCCTCTTATGGTCTGGAGCATCCAGGCTTACCTTTGGTTGCTGAACACTCAACAGTCAGGGCCTGCGTTGGCTTCGTTGGGCCTAGTCTACCAGTACCAGTAGACATTTGGCAAACGAAGGATCCTAAAATTCAGAGGAAGCCAAATCTGAGCTGGGCTAGGGAGTCGAGTTGAGTGAATTCATACCTGTCCCAGACCAGTTTGCCTTTCTAAGACCATGTATGTACTCAGGAGGCCAAAGGAAGATAACCATGATGCTGAGTTGAAGCCAAGGGAAGCATCATGCGTATCTGATGAAGCTTAATTTACTCAGAAGCTTTAGCTCTCAGGTTCCAACCATAGTGAAACCAGAATATGATCACCAGTATCACTGCTGAGAAAGTTATTTAAAAATAATAAAAATGGTGTGGTGCCCGGGCATTGGTGGTGCATGCCTTTAATCCCAGCACTTGGGAGGCAGAGGCAGGCGGATCTCTGTGAGTTCGAGACCAGCCTGGTCTACAGAGGGAGCTCCAGGACAACCTCCAAAACAATACAGAGAAACCCTGTCTCGAAAAACCAAAAAAAAAAAAAAAAAAAAAAAATGGTGTGGTGTCCCATGCCTTTGGAGGTGGAAGTAGGAGGATCCGAAGTTCAAGGACATCCCCAGCTATGTGAAGAACGCTGAGCCAGCCTGAGATACACGAGACATTGCCTTAGAAAAAAAGTTTAAAAGTAGACCAGGGCTGGAGATGCAGCTAAGTAGGTAGTGCTTGCCTAGTATGTAGGAGTAGGTAGGCTTGATTACCAGCAGTACATAAGCCTGTGTAGTGGTGTAAAACTGTAATCGCAGTATTTGAGAAGTAGATGCAGTAAGACTAGAAATTTATGTCATCCATAGCTACATAAGGAGTTTGAGGCCCATCTGGGCTATGTGAAATTCTTTCATAAATGCACAAAGTATGTGGCCATCATCATCAAGCATTCTTCATTTTACCTTACTCCTGGTTTGGTACCACCAAGATAATCCCTTCTTTAGGGTGGCTACTTTCAGTCAATTCTGTTCCTGGATGTCTTGTAGTAAGGCAAACCCTTGTGTGTAGGCGGGCCTTCCCACTCTACCCAGAACACTGAGCTTGGCTGGTATAGTTAGGGATCTCAAGCAGCAGCTGAGGAACCCTGGGGTACTAGGGATTGAACTGGTGGAGGAGACTTGGAGGACGGGGGTTCTTCCGTTTTGTTTCTTTTGAGACAGGGTTTCTCTCTGTAGGTTTTGGAGCCTATCCTGGTACTCACTTTGTAGACCAGGCTGGCCTGGAACTCACAGAGATTGGCCTGTCTCTGCTTCCCAAGTGCTGGGATTAAGGCATGTGCCATCACCGCCTGTTTAAAATCTTATATATATATATATATATATATATATATATATATATTTTTTTTTTTTTTTTTTTGGTTTTTCAAGACAGGGTTTCTCTGTGGTTTTGGAGGGTGTCCTGGAACTAGCTCTTGTAGACCAGGCTGGCCTCGAACTCACAGAGATCCGCCTGCCTCTGCCTTCCAAGTGCTGGTGCTGGGATTAAAGGCGTGCGCCACCAACGCCTGTTTAAAATCTTTTATAAATTATTTATTATGTATGTATAGTGTTCTGGCTTCATGTATGCCTGCGCACCAGAAGAGGGCACCAGCTCTCATTATAGATGGTTGTGAGCCACATGTGGTTGCTGGGCAGTGAACTCAGAACTTCTGGAAAAGTAGCCAGTTCTCTTAACTTCTAAACCATCTCTCCAATCCAGGGACAGGGAAGGGGGGGGGGAATGACTTAAAAGAGGCCTTCCAGCCTCAAAGGCAGGACTCTGAATTGAAAAGGGCAGCCACAGGGAACAACACTGTAAAATGTGCCCAGCAGGAAAAATGGATGTTACCTCCTATTGTGTGAAGAAAGTCATACTTGTCTGGAGTTCCTCATTCTTTTTTTTTTTTTTGGTTTTTCGAGACAGGGGTTTTCTGTATTGCTTTGGAGGTTGTCCTGGAACTCATTCTGTAGACCAGGCTGGCCTTAAACTCACAGAGATCCACCTGCCTCTGCCTCCCGAGTGCTGGGATTAAAGGCGTGCGCCACCAACACCTGGCTTTGTCTGGAGTTCCAATGGCAGCAATATGGGAAACAGCTTGTAAGGTCTGGGTCCTACCTTAATTTCCCTGGCCAGGGCAGACAGAAACTTTGTGGTGGGTAGGGGGCGGAAACTTCATCTAAAGACTTGATGAATCTGTGGTTGTTGCTTTGCCTGGGAGCTGTTGTCGGACAGAGACCCTTGGCCCCACTGGCACAGTAAGGCAACAGGACTCATGAAGCATTGCATACTTTCCTGCCCAAGCTGGCCAGCCTGGAGGGTGGCAATCAATGACATAAGTAAGCAGTGATAGTGCCTTCCGTCTCTTTTATCAGGATGGTGGGGTGGTGTCACAATTATAACAGCCCAAATTCCATTTGCAGAGGTTTGGGGTCTTCATAGTGACGGGAAGCAGAGCAGCCAGAGGATGCTCACTAGCCTGGGATGGTTAGCTAATCTAGTACCCTGTTCCCGCTAAGGGGAGATATGAGGTTCCCTGCCAACTGTTAGATGGCAGTGCTAGGAGACAAAGGGTCACAGGAGAGTTCTCTAAGAGGTCCAGGTCCTGGGATAGCTTCTTCCCAGGCTGAGTTGGTTCTTCTCCTGTTTCTCCCACTAAGATGGGCCTGCGAGGCAAATGGCCCTGCAGAGTCTGTCTAAAAAGCAGCTTGTCACTTTCGAGGCTTTCGGCACCTGGGGAGTGGAGGAAGAGATATTAGTGCTGGCTGAAGCTTAACTCCAAGTTCTTCTTCTTCTTCTTCTTCTTCTTCTTCTTCTTCTTCTTCTTCTTCTTCTTTTTGCTTGCTTTTTCGTTTGTTTTTGTTTTTTTCGAGACAGGGTTTCTCTGTAGCTTTGGGGGCTGTCCTGAAACTCACTTTGTAGACCAGGCTGGCCCCAAATTTACAGGGATCCACCTGCCTCTGCCTCCCTACTGCTGGGATTAAAGGTGTGTGCCACCACCACCTGGTGGCATGATATCTTTTATATTGTGTATATGAGTGTTTTGCTTATATGCATGTATGTACACTGTATGTATGCCTGGTATGTTTAGAAGAGGGCACTGGATGTCCTAGAACGGTAGCTATAGATGGTTATGAGCCACCATGTAGGTGCTAGAAACCAAGTCTGGATCCTCTGCAAGAGCAGAGTGTTTTTTTTTTTTAATAAATGGTCTTTTATTTCTAAATGATTTATTTATTTTTATTTCATGTACATTGGTGTTTTGCCTGCATGCATGTCTGTGTGAGGATGTCGGATCCCCTGGAACTGTAATTACAGACAGTTGTAAGCTGCCATGTGGGTGCTGGAAATTGAACCCAGGTCCTCTGGAAGAGCAGTCAGTGTTCTTAACCTCTGAGCCATTTCTCAAGCCCCCGAGCAGAGTGCTCTTAACCACTGAGCTATCTCTCTCCAGCCCTTATTTACTCAAGTGGGTCAAACTAGCTTTCAAACTCACTATGTCACAAGGAATGACCTTGAACTTTTGAGTGCCATTATGCCTAGTTTCATTTGGTGCTCAAGATCAAACCCAAAGCCGGGCGTTGGTGGCGCACGCCTTTAATCCCAGCACTCGGGAGGCAGAGGCAGGCGGATCTAAAAAAAAAAAAAAAAAATCAAACCCAAGGTTTCTTGCATGCCAGACAAGCATTCTGTCAACTCAGTTACATCCCCAGCACTTCTTTTTTTGTTTGTTTGTTTGTTTTGGTTTTTCGAGACAGGGTTTCTCTGTGGCTTTGGAGGCTGTCCTGGAACTCGATCTGTAGACCAGGCTGGCCTCGAACTCACAGAGATCCACCTGCCTCTGCCTCCCGAGTGCTGGGATTAAAGTCGTGCGCCACCAACGCCTGGCCCCCAGTGTGGCGCCAGCGCCACAAGCCACTCCAAGGTATCAGGAAAAGAAAGACCAGACGTCCAGCTGTTTGTACTAATAGAAAGCATGTGCTGCCTTTATTGCCAGGAGAGTGTGTGTGTGTCTGTCTTCATTGCAAGTGCTAAGAGGTCTCCCCCTTGTAGGAGAAAGTTTAAAGCCAGCTTGGGCTTCTTGAAACTCTGTTTAAAAAACAAATCCACAAGAAGATGAAAAGGAGCTTTGGCTGGGTACGGTGGTGTACATCTGCAATTGCAGCAATCGGGAGGTAGAGGCAGGAGTGATTTTGAAGACAATCTGGGCTGTAGACCAAAGTGGTCTCAACGAACAAATAACAAAGAAGTGCTGGGTGTGGCGCCAGCACCACAAGCAAGTCCAGGGTATCAGGAAAAGAGAGACCAGATGTCCACTTGTTTGTACTAAGAGAATGCACGTGTTGCCTTTATTGCCAGGAGAGTGTGTGTGTGTGTCTTCATTGCAAGTGCTAAGAGGTCTCTCCCATGTAGGAGGGAGGAGCTTCTTATACAGGTTTACAGCACAGTGGAAAAAACCCCAGGTAGAAGAGATTGTTGTTTTCCTCCTGCTAGATGTTGATGTCAGAGGGTCAAGACCAGGACTAGAAAACAGAAAGCACTTGGACTGGAAAACAAGTTGCACTTGTAGGCTGACCAGCAACTCACAGAGACCCCATGGGGCTGGGGCCCAACATCTCCCCCCTTTTTTATATATAAATTAGCACCTATCTCAGGTGACTAGGATGTTAATATCAATCTTAGTATACAAAAACAAACATTTATAAACAATATTTGGGAATGTGGGTGTCGTTCTTTCCAAGCTACTTCCTGCTGTTAAGTTCCTTTTCGTCTTCTTGTGGATTTGTTTTTTAAACAGAGTTTCAAGAAGCCCAAGCTGGCTTTAAACTTTCTCTGTAGCTGAGGTTAACCTTGAACTCCTAACCTTCCTGCCTCTACCTGAGTGCCAAGATTCCTGGCATATACCACCATGCCTGGTCCTAGTCTTCTTATGCATTCTCCTCCCCCCCCTTTTTTTGTTTGTTTCTTGGAACAGGGTTTCTCTGTGTAGTCTTGGCTTGTGGGTGTTCTGGAAATCACTGTGTAAACCAGGCTAGCCTTGAACTCATGGAGATCTGCCTGCCTCTGCCTCCCAAATGCTAGAATTAAAGGTGTCCCTTCCATCACCTGGCCTCTTTTTCCCTTTTTTGGACCCCACTTTTTCCTGAGACTCTCTGGGGGTCTCCCTAACCCTCGCTATGGAAAGAGAAGGGCTGCTTAAGCACTGTGAGCAGAGGCACATGGGGTTCCCATACTCCTTGCTCTCTCAAAGCCTATAGAATGGAGCAAATGTCTATCATATGGGCTTCTGTGAAGATATGAAGCTCCCTGCAAATCTTTAGTTCTACTCCAGCCAGGAGATGGCCGGATACTCAGAGATGAGAGCAGGTGATAATATCACAGTGCTCAGCACCCTCTACTGGTGGTGGCATCGTCTCTCCCACAGACTTGTGCATCCAAACTTGAACTTGTTTTTGCTGATGTGTTGCCAGCAGATGCGCAGTGAATGTCTAACACATGCAGCAGCTCCTCCTTCCCTGGCCTTTTCCCCACTGGCTCACCTGGACCTGCTCCAGGGCACAGCTTGATGCCTCCCACACAAGTGCCACCCCATAGACTCCTCACCTGCAGGTATCTGGGTTGAACTCTAAGCCCCGCCCTTGACAGCGGAGGAAGCTGCGGCGTCTGCAGCGGCAACGGCAGGTCCGAGGGTCAGGGCGCTGACGGCGCTGGGTGCAACGTGGGCAGGGTGTCCTGGGGCTGCAGTGGGATGGATGATGTCAGCTGGGGAAGGTGCTCCCGGGGCAGAGCGGGGCTGGGGGCGGTGGTGGGGTATGGCAGCCCTAGGAGGAGAAGCAACATGTCTGGGGTGGAAAGAGTCTTCCCAGGATCTAGGGCTGGGACAAAATATACTGACTTGGGGAGCACAAAAGGGAAGGGATGTCAGGTGAGAGGAGGAAGAGGGGCTGCAGCCTCCTGGCTCACACAGTGCACCTCCTAGCCCACCCGTGAGCTCCCTCCTGGACCAGCAGCAACTCTCAGGAACTCACCTGTCTGGTTTCACAGCACTCTCCCTTTTTTTTGGTCTGAAAAATGAGAGAGAGAAAGATAAGAGAGGGTAAGGGAACCAGAGCCTCCTGCTGTCTTGCCTAGGATCCGTGCCTACTCCTGGCTCTACTCTGAGTAGTCACCTGGTCCCTACGACGGTGCAGCCCCATGCCTGATACCCCCACCCCATGCTACACTTTGTGTACTCTGAAGTTAGACCTGGCTGGCACCTGCATTCACATTGGCTGTGTTCTTCCAGGGATATCTCCCCCAGCTGACTGCTCGGGTACTGGATCATGAGGATCTGTACTCAGGAAAAGGAGGAAGAGACCGTGAGTGATGGGAGCAGTAGAAACATAGAGGAAGAGGATGCTCATGGGCTTCAGGAGAATGGCCAGACCTTCCCACCTCCTGTGTACCTGTCTCCGGGCTGACCCATCAACACGCATGACGCATAGTCCGCAGTACCTGCATTTGGACTTGGTGCTGCCCAACGGGCACACATTCCAGGCCGTCATCAGGGCAGCAGCCAGCACAGCGCTGCACAGTCACACAGCTGGGCACTAGCTGTTTGACCACACTGCCCATGAGTTCCATGTTCAGAGGCACCACCACCTCCCTGGGCTGGCACGTGGCACGCGCATAGACATCTATCCATGGCACCACTGTGGGCAGACCCAGATTGATTAAGTTCTTACCGGGGTTCCTGAAGCTGCTTCGAGCATGCAACCTCTCTATTACCCTGTTACCGCCATCCTAACCCTTCCTTTAAACATGTCTTTCTCTGCCTTCTTTCTCAAGAAACCATTAAGCCCTCTGCCTCAGTTTCCTCACTTGGGAGAATTGGCATCTCCCAAAGGAGTAGGGATCACACAAGATGAGGGACATAAACTCAGGGCATATAATCCCTCTTAGTACTCGTTGGTGTCAAGTTATTGTTAGCTATTATTACCTTTCTTCTGGTGGCTGGGGCCATCAAACTGGGACACAGGAGCCTGTGGGAAAGAAGATACCTGGGTCCAAGGTGCACTCCATAAGGGCTGGCCCTGTGACTGTAGGTGCTCTGCCCTGAGTCAGGCTTCTTGCTCCTTTCTGACATCTTTCCAGATTGTTCTGTTCCCAGCACCTCGAGTCTAATTTTACTTGTCCACTTAGCCATCTGGGTCTTTTTCCTGGCCTAAGACCCACCAGACATACCATGGGAGTGGCACTAAACCCCAAGCTTTGGAGCTGGGCTTGTTTTAGGTCAAGATCAGGAACAGTGAGAGGCAAACCTGGTTCCGAGGACACTGAGGCAGCTCCGCCCCCCAGGAGCCCAGGGGATGGGAGGGGGCGGGAGAGTGGTGGGGGGCGCTAGGGCTAGCGGGCCTGCGCAGAGGGGCACCCCGGGTTATGGCCAGTTAAAACAGTTGATCTCCTCTGCAGAAGTAGCGGGCGCCTCCCTACTTCCGCCAACCTTGAGAGGGCACCGCGGGCGGGCGAACTGGATGTCGTGGAGGCACATACCTGGGTATGGGCCAGTTGCAGCAGCGCAGCGAGCAGCAGGCAGCGGAGCAGGGGGCTCATGGTGCCCGCGGGGGCTGCGCGCCGTGGGGCTCGGCATAGCTCTAGCCTGGCGGCGCAGGGGGCGGCGGCAACCAGAGCCCCATGGCGCGGGCCCGGGTGCGGGGACCCGGGGCCCGGCGTGGGGGGCGGCTCCTCCGCGGCCCCCTCCCGAGCCCTGGGTGCAGGCAGTGCCGCGGCGGCCGCGGCTGGAGGAGCGGGACAGGCAGGCGGCCGGTGGCGGTGGCGGGGACCGCGGGCAGCGGGGACGACGGGGGTGGCAGGGGGCCTGAACGGAGCTGGCGGGCTGGGAGCTCATGTGACCTAAACACGCGCTCCCCACCAGCCTGCGGGCGGAGGCAGGGCGGGGGCGGAGCTGGTCCCCTCCAAACACCCCCTCCGGTCGCTGCAGGGGAAAGGGGACACACCGCCCAGAAGGCCGGACTCTGGGTTCGCTGCACCAAGAGGTGAAGGGTGAGATGTGTGACCTGAAGGACCGAGCAGAACAAGAATCTGAAAATGAGTTTATTGCACGTGCTGTGGGAAATTTGTAGCCCTGGACAGGCAGCTAGGAGAGGACCAATGCAGGTCCACCTAAGTGAGTCCCTCAAGGGCTGCTATCCTGGGGCACGATCCCAGGGCCTTCTGGAGGCAGGGAGGGCCCTTTCAGAGACTGCTGCCTCTGCTGGCGCTCCTGCTGAATCCTGGTTCTGTTGGCCCTGGAGAAAAGATAGATTGGGACAAGGATCCTGAAGGGTAGTTCTGGGGCAGGGAATGAGACAAGATCGAGCACGACAGACCTGGCTCGCGCCCTCGTATCATTGTAGATGGCTGTGATGATCCGATCCTTTTCATCCATGAAGCTCCGGTGCACCTGCTCCAGCTTCCTGTGAGGGAACTGCAATTAACCCTGGGTCTCCAGCCTCTGCTATCCCTGAAGCCTTGGTCTTCAACCTGACTCTAGCATCTCCCATACAACTCTACATCTCTCCTCCTAACAGACAGTGCTGTGATAAGTTGAAAAAAGGGACACAAGATGGTCGCTGGTGGTGCACGCTTTAATCCCAGTGTGGGGAGGCAGAGGCAGGCGGATCTCCGTGAGTTTGAGACCAGTCTGGTCTACAGAATGAGAAATTAGAAAGGGGACGTATTTCTCTATCTCCGTTGCTGCATAGACAGCTCAGGCAGTGGGCATCATCCTTTGGGTTTCTGTGCTGCAGACAACTGGAATCACAGCATCATGAGAGAGTGGTGTGAGGTCCTGGATGCTAGCCAGGACTGTCTGCCACACTGCACTCGCTCCTCCCCTTCCTTCCTCTTTCTTTCTATATTGAGACAGTTTCATGTAGCCTAGGCTGCCCCCAAACTCAGTAATGCAGCCAAGGATGACCCTGATTTTGTGTGTGTGCATGCATATGCATATGTGTATATCATATGTGTGCAGGTTTGCTTGAAGGCCAAAAGGGGGCATCAGATCTCCTGGCAGTTGTGGGCTATCATATGTGGGTGTTGAGAATTGAACTCTGCTCCTCTGATAAGATCTTAATCACTGAAACATTCTCCAGCCCCCAAGCTTCTCATCCTTCTGCCTCCACCTCCTGAGTGCTGGGATTACAGTACAAACCACCATGCCTGTTTATGACATGCTAGGGAGGGAACCCCAGGGGTTTGGCTATGCCCTCCTTGTGCATGGTTTTGGATGGCTACAGCCTCACCAACAATCAGAACGGAAAATTCAAGTTATGAGAAACAGAAAGCAACTTCAGTCCTTTTGTGCAGGGCTGCCTTTGCCCAGCAAGGCCAGGCTCCAAAGCCTGATTTCACAAAGCTCTTAGCTCGAGAGAGACAGAGTATGTGGGTCACAGGCTGCCGTGGCTGGCTACTCTTCACCCACCCTCTGCCCAGCACCCCAGGAGGGGTGGAAAGGCACCTGAAGGCGACGTAGTGCAGGCTCATGCCTGCCACCATGAGCAGGAGGCAGTACCCCAGGACCCGCTGGTTGTGTTTACGTTGCTGCTGCCTTGACTCAGGCCCCTGTGGCCTCACATTGTGAAACTGGGCCCAGTATTTCGCATTGGGGGGTTCCCAGGAGCTGCTGAAGAGCAAAAGGACAACAGAAAGATGAAGCTCTGGAAGGCTTCAGGGTGGGGACAGAAAGGGTCAGGACTACTGTACCTGTGTGTCTCTTGGGTATACTTAGGCTGGGCTCTGGTTCCTGAAGATTTGGGGGGACTAGCTGAATGCAGCTGGTGGTCATATTTGCGACGACTCTCCTCACGGCTGAGCACTCGGTATGCCTCATTCAGTTCCACGAAGCGGCTATGCAGGGCTGGGTTTCCAGGGTCTCGGTCAGGGTGCAGCTGGGTGAAACAGCGGTCCCCTTATCTCATTTTCCATGTCCACCCATAAAGACTGATATCACTCCCACAGATTTTGCCTGTGGGACAGGACACTGCTTCTCACTTTGCTGACCCCTCCCAAAGGCCAGAGTCAGAAAGTACAGATTTTTACTCCTCTCATTAAAAAAAAACCAGAGATATTTCAGCTCACAACTGTAACTCCAGTTCCAGGAAGGTGGGGATAGGAGGACCACTGAAAGTTAGAGACCAGTTTGGGACACACTGTGAGATCCTATCTCAAAAACAAAGAAAAACACCCCAGAAGGACCCCTGGCTTTGCTGGATCCTTTTCCCATAGAGGATATTGAGTACCTCCTATCCAAGCAGGTGGAGGAAGGAGTGTGCTACCAGCTAGACGTACAGACCTACCCCAGGAAGTTAGAGTGCCCCTGTGTCTGCGTCACACCTCATCTTCCTCCCTCCTCACCTTGGGGATACCAATACCTCTTTGGACTTGGTAAAGAAAGCACGCTTAACTTCTTCAGCACTGGCATCAGGATGCACCCCCAACAGTTCATAGTAGTTAGATGGAGAAGACCTGTAGAGAAAAACCCAAACCTATAGAGGCTTAGGAGACCAAAGGTCACCATTGCCCTCTCCTGTCATCCTCTCTGGGTACACCCATCAATTCAGCCAAGATCTGAAGTTAGTCCCAAAACACATCTAGCTCCAGATTATCCTTCCCTTTGGGGTGTTTCGGGAATGGTCAGGACTTCTCATTTTCTTTCTTTCTTTCTTTCTTTCTTTTTTTTTTTTTTTTGAGACAGGGTTTCTCTATATTGTTTTGGAGGCTGTCCTGGAACTCAGTCTGTAGATCAGGCTGGCCTCGAATTCACAGAGATCCACCTGTCTCTGCCTCCCGAGTGCTGGGATTAAAGGAGTGTACCACCAACACCTGGCTTAGGACTTCTCATTTTCAAAGTGTCTTCCTCAGACTCGTACACCACAGACCCAAATGGGTTCTGCTGCTTTGAAAAACAAAACAAAAAACCAGGGTCTCACTAGCTCTGTCTGACCTGAACTCCCTAGGTAGACCAGACTAGCCTTAAACTCACAGAGTTTGCCTTTGCCTCCCAAGTTCTACGACTGAAGGCAGGCACCACCTACCACCACCCTGGCTTAAACAGTTCTTTAACGTTTTATTATTTGATTTTATGTCTATGAGTGCTTGTAGGCATGCACACCACGTGAGTGCCTGGTGCCCCCAAAGGTCAGAAGAGTGTGGCTGTAAGTCCTTGGGTCAATGCTGGGGATCAACACTGAGTCCTCTGTGCTGGCAAGTGCTTTCAATCTCTTGAGTCCTCCTCCAGCCCCTGAAGACTTGTTTGAAACAGCAGGGTTTGTGATGTGGGTGGTGTCCACTTGTAATCCTCTACCTTGGGAGGTGGAAGCAAAGTCGGAAATTCAAGGTCATCCTTTGGCTACTAGTGAGTTTGCAGCTGACCTAGTCTACTTGAGACCATGTATCAAAAAGGAAAAAAAAAAAAAGAATTCCTCTTATACATGAGGTTCTGTGTTCCAGGGCCAGTACTGGGGGAAAGAAAGATTTCCAAGACAGAAGCCGGGAGTTGGTGGCACACGCCTTTAATCCCAGCACTCGGGAGGCAGAGGCAGGCGGATCTCTGTGAATTCGAGGCCAGCCTGATCTACAGACTGAGTTCCAGGACAGCCTCCAAAACAATATAGAGAAACCTTGTCTTAAAAAACAAAAAAAGATTTCCAAGCCAGGCATGGTGGCTGTACCTGAATTCCAGATTGTGTTTGGAACCTCAATTGGTAAAAATAGGAAACTCCATCGAAAAGGAAAAGGCAGATTCCCACCGTCACCCCCCACTTCATTCCTCCTGACCGGCTCGCAGCCCAGAAATCTAAATCTTTGTACCCAACCTCCTCTTTCCCAGTGCATGCGCAGTGAAGGCTGACAACACACCAGAACTATGGAAAGAGCCCTGGCTTTGACCTGAGCTCAAATTCCCGATCTGCCTCTTATCTCACTTAATCTTGGGGCTCCGCTCTGAACTCTTGATGCTCAGTGGCCAGCACTGAAGGTGAGGGTTATCTGGAGCAGACCTCTTAAGGCACTTGACATATAATGCTGAGACAGGTATCTCAGAACAGGGCTCTCAATAGAAAATTACTGAACAACATGGCCAAGATCTGGCGCTCAACTCACCGCTGCCCTGTGGCGGCTGTGAGAAGCCGGGCGGGAGGGCTGCAGGGCCACAGCCGGCATAGGCGCAGGGGCAGCAGGAGCAACAAGGGACGGCATGATGACGGCGGGCAGGCAGCTGGGAAAGGGAGGCCCCCCCAAGAGGTGTGCATTGGTTCCCAATCAATCGGGCCGGACTTCGGGTGTCTGGGAAAAGGGAAGGAGCCTGCCTCAGTTTCCTACAAAGCCAGACTGAAGCAGATTCTAGAAAGGCCTTTTTACTCAAGAATCAGACGCGAGTGCTACGGCCCTTCCGGCACTGGCCTCCAAGTCTAGACCACCGGCTCAGGACCAGGGTCAGCCCTCCCCACCTATAGCGTTAGGTGGGCGTGCGAAGGAGGAGCCACAACCAAGTCCCACCCCTGTCCCCCACTCACAGGCTCCGCAGTCGCCGCCATTTCCTGCACCCCCACAGGCCCCGCCCCTAACCCCTCGTTGGTGTAAGGCTCACGCCACGTTTATTGAGCAGGAAGGCGAAGACGTGAAACACAGGACCCGCCCCCGTACGCTCATTGGTCTAAGGCGCCAGAGTCCGTGAAGCGGAAGTGCCGGTGTTCATACAAGGTGCCGAGTCTACCCGTCCGGTACCGAATCTGGCCCCGAGGAAGGGCTCCCCCCCATCCCTGTCAGCAGCGAGGCCCGGCTCAAAGGTGCTTTTACTGCGCCGTGGCCCACATTCTCCAAACAAGAGGGACACACGGAGGCTGCGTTGCCACGTGGCCAGCCCTTCTCACCCACCCCAGGTTCTCCCGGAGGATCCCAGACTATCAGAAGCAGCAAAAGCCAACGGTATCCAAGAATAAAAGTCCTTTATTGTCTTCAGAGCTGGGGTGATAAGGTTGGGACGCTAGGTTGAGTCAGGTGGGACTTCCCAGCGCCCGACTGTAGAGGTGGATGGCGATTGTAGAGGAGGATGGCACCTTTGGCTGAAGGGCAGAGTTGTGCCCACATCTCCGTCTCTTGTAGTCTCTGTACCCTCTGTGAGAAATCAGTGAGACCCAGGCATGAGGCTGGAGCTGTGCCTAAAGTTTCGGAATCTCAGTAGGATCCCCGTTCATGAGCTTTCCCCTTAGGTAGGACCCAAGCTTTGTGCCTCTGGAAACTAGGATACCCGGGAGTTCTCTGCCTCACCCAGGAATTCTTTTCCCCCATCACCAGACCACCGTGAAGGCCTCAACTCCACACCTGTGTCTCCACGAAGATGATTCCTGTAGACTCGTGGGCCTCAGGGCCCCCACTCATGTAGTAATTCCTAACCTCCTCTGAAGTTAGGCCGCACCTAGACAAGAACATGAGGGTGGCTTGGTGGATGTCCAGACTTTATAGGAACCCCACAGAACTCCAGGTGCCTCAAACCCACTCCCCCCACCTCACCCAGGATGCTACACCCCGGAGCGCACTCACTGGACGTAGAACTCTGCACTGGCCCTGCCGGCGCTGGTCTCATTGCAAGCGATGCCCAGTAACAGTGGCTGACTCAGGGTGTGCAGTGGCAGGTTCACCTGGGGCAGGGGGTCCCACGTGTCAGACTGACCGCTCAGTGGCCTGGGGCTTTTGTTAGTTTGGTGTTTTGTATGTTTATTTTTGTTGAGGCAGGGCCTCAAGTAGCCCAGGTTAGCCTTAAACTCAATATTTAGCAAAGGTGACCCAGAATTTCTGATCCTCTGCCTTCATTTCCTGTTTACACAGTACTGAAGATCAAACCCCAGGCTTTGTACATGCTAGGCCAGTATTTCTTTCTTTCTTTTTTTTTTTTGGTTTTTCGAGACAGGGTTTCTCTGTAGCTTTGGAGGCTGTCCTGGAACTCACTTTGTAGACCAGGCTGGCCTCGAACTCACAGAGATCCGCCTGCCTCTGCCTCCCGAGTGCTGGGATTAAAGGCCCGGCTTAGGCCAGTATTTCTTAACCTGTGGGTTGCAACCCCTTACGAGGTTACCTAAGACCATTGGAAAACACAGATACTTACATTATGGTTCATAGCAGTAGCAAAATTACATTTATAAAGTAGCAACAAAAATAATTTTGTGGTTGGAGGTCACCACAATATGAAGAATTACATTAAGGGTCACAGCATCAGAAAGTTGAGAAGCACTGTGCTAGGCAAACAGTCTAAGAGCTAACCTGGGCTATATCTCCAGTCCCCAATGGCCATGACCCTTGGCATTTTTGTTTTGCTAGCCAAATGCCCCATTACACAAAATACAGGCTCTGAGTGTTCATTTTACAGATGAGAAATGGAACAAATTGTCCAGGGAGGCCATTTTATCCAAGTGAAATAACCAAGACTCTCAGTATTTTTTCAGCAAATATGGGAACAGACTAGATATTTTTCATTATTTGCACTGTAATAAAGAAGAATCTGAGGGCCAAGGGATCATGGCCTCAGTGTTAATGCTGTGCTCCTTCAATGCCAGTGAGGCTCATGCAGACCCTCACTCTGGCCCAGGCCTGTGGATTTCTAGCGAATCCTATCCCCCTTACTCATGCCCATCGTATGTCTGGGGCCCTTGTCACTCACCTCATCACAGATCTCCTGTAGGACACTGGAGAAGAGTTCACGTACCACCAGTTCCCCAGGGAGGTCCTTGTGCTGGGGGATGCCACCAGAGCACAGGGCCTGTGAAAAATTTAGGCTCAGCCTTCATCTATACCAATTCCCTCACTGGTTTTCCTCTTGCTGGCCATGGGGGCCTAGGGCAGATTCATTGTGGGAGTCTTGGCAATTCCCTAACCCAGGCTCTCCTATTCCATATAAGCAATCACAAGTCAACTAGGAAGGTTTACATGGATTGGGTGAGAAAAGACATCTCCCCTTCAGTCTCTCTTCCCATGTTCCCTAGCTTCCATAGGTGTGTTTCAGCTTAGATCTAGACTGGATCTCCCAAATGGCAGTGAGCACCCTGTCTCCTCCCAGTAGTGGTGAGACTCATGGGCCCATACTTTCTCCTGGACAGCCCTCTGGCAGGGCGTGCAGCATGGGAGGCTACAGGCTCAGAAACACCAGGCCACGTTTCCCTTTAAGATAAAATGAAGCCAGCCGGGCGTTGGTGGCGCACGCCTTTAATCCCAGCACTCGGGAGGCAGAGGCAGGCGGATCTCTGTGAGTTCCAGGCCAGCCTGGTCTACAAAGTGAGTTCCAGGACAGCCTCCAAAGCCACAGAGAAACCCTGTCTCGAAAAACCAAAAAAAAAAAAAAAAAAAAAAAAAAAGATAAAATGAAGCCAGAACTAAGAGCTTGACTTTTGTGCCTTTGTGCCCGGCCAGTCATTTTACCTGAGGTTCAGGGTGCCCTCCGGGTACGTCCACCATCCCAGGCGCCTCAGCTACCTGCTGAGAGCGGCGCAGGAGGACGAGGAAGTCATCAGCTGTGACCAATGTGGCACCCACCCCCAGTGGGTCTGCCAAATAGGCTTGTTTGTCGCCCCAATCTGTAGCTCCCTGCTGTCGCAGCCAGGAGGCTGAGCTGGACCAGTTGGTGCCCAGGAAGTCCCGGTAGGAAGTGAGTCCCAGGTTCAGGAGCAGCTGTGGCGGTGGCGACCTGGATGCCAGTGTGGCCGAGTGAAGGCGGAACTTAGGGGCATCAAAGATCCAGGGTTGAGTCTGTAGCCGGGTCTCCCAGATGGCAGTAATGCTCTTGTCTCCTCCAGGCAGTGGGCGACGATCATGAGCTGGGCTCAGCTCTACTGCTACCTGCTCCTGAGACAGTCCCCCAAGAGGACACAACAGTAGGAGGGACACCTCAGGGTCCATGGTTTGACAGGGAAATTCTGGGGGAAGACACAGATGGCCATCCTGTCACTCGAAGGAATGAGCTGACCCTCTTTTCCACAGAACCCCTGAAAGTGAGCCCACCTTTCTGCAGATCCCGGATTGCTTATTGCTTGGGCAGGAGTAATCCCAACAAGAATCCGGAGCCCAGCAAGCACCTGATCTCCTGCTGCCCCAAATCCCTAAAACCTTTGGGCATCCCTACCCCTAGCAACAGTAGGCGCTCCAATGATCATGGCCCCCAAACCCAGGAGTACTTGCCTCCAACCCGGACACTCTTGGAAGCTGGCTCTTGGAATTCACCGGCGACCTAGCCCCCAAGCTCCACCTCTTTCCTCTCAAGCGGAAGTGCCTGCCCCTTTCCTTCGCGGCTTCCCATTGGCCAGTCCGTGTCGGGGCCGGCGACTTGCCCTCCTTGAGCGCTTCTGATCTGCGCCGGCCTGCTCACCTGGGCGTCTCCTCTCACTCCAGCCCCGAGTTCTGGGCAGCAGCAAATTCGCGATCTGATTCCAGAGAGCGGGGTCCGATCCGGATCCCTCGGGCCTCGTGGCTGCCAGCGTGGCCCTGGGCAAGTCTCGCCAGCTGGGCCTCAACTTCCCTTGTGTGAACCAGAGATTCTAGGGTGGGATGAACAGTGTGATTGTCCTATCTCGAGCCTTTGTGACTTTATGGGCAGAGTGGCCAAACGTCCCTGCTCCCTACAGGTCTTGGCCATGAACGCCCCTGGAGGAAGGAGGCAGGAAGGTAGAAGGGCCCATAGACCCCGGGAACAGGTGTGCACCTTTCCACCCTCTCCCCACAGCGGCTGGACAGGGGGGGGGGAACAGGACGACGACACACACACGACCCTCTGAGCCTTGGTTTCTTGGTGGGAAGACAGGAGAACCAATGGTCCCAGAGACCACTGTTCTGGTTTAGCTTTGCAGTAGGACATTCAGGGCTCAGGACTAGCTACCAAACCCAGTGACTCTTTCAGGACCGAGATGTGCAGCTGTCTAAGGCTCTGTCCTATGCCCTACGCCATGGAGCCTTGAAGCTGGGACTTCCCATGCGAGCTGGTAAGTGAGCATGGTGGAAGCTGGGAGGAAAAGTATGGGCCCAGAGAGTAACTGGAACCCTGTCTCCTCAGATTTTAACACTGCCCCAGCAGGAGCACAGAATAGGCACACTCTCCAAGTGTACAGGAAAAACAAGGCCCAGAACCCCTCTCATGTCCTCTGGAAGACAAGTACCTGTCTAGGCTGGGTCTCATGATGTCTCTTTCAGCCAACTGGCCCTATAAACACTTCCCAAGGATGGAAGGGGTGCATTCTGAGACACGTGATGTTTATTGGATGGCCATTCTGGGCCAAGTACTTGCTGTTACTCTCCCTGAAGCAGATATGCTATTTTAGGTTTTGTTTTTATGTGTATGAGTGTTTTGCCTGCATGCATGTGTGTTTGTACTGGACCCCTGGAACTGGAGTTCAGGTGGTTGGGAATCAGACCCCAGGTCCTTTGGAAGGTCAGCCAGTGCTCTAAGTTGATGTGCCATCTCTAAAGCCCTTTTGTTTTCATTTTGAGACAAGGTGTCACGTAACTTAGGCTAGCCTCAAAGCGCCTTGAACTCTTGACTCTTCTGCCTGTACCACCCAATTGCTGGACTTATAGGCATGTACCAATATGGCCATTATGAAGCTGGTCACCTTCCTATGTAAGTTAAGAAAAATGAGGCAGAGGTCTTGCCTAGCAGATGCAAGGCTCTGTGTTCCACCCATGTATAGAAAAAAAAAATGAGGTCCCTAAAGGAAAGCCTTCCTGAAGGTCACACAAAGGAAGCTCATGTGACCGGCCAGGCCTAGCCTCTGTTCCAGTTGCCCGTGGCTCTCCTGCTGACCATAGCCCTGACTCCTGAGCCCGCCCCACCCTGCAGATGGCTTTGTGCCCCTTCGAGCCCTCCTGCAGCTGCCTCAGTTTCACAGCTTCTCAGTGGAGGATGTACAGCACGTGGTGGACACCAATGGAAAGCAGAGGTTTGCCCTCCAGCCAGGCGAGCCCAGCACTGGGCCTCTTATCAGGGCCAATCAGGGCCACTCCCTACAAGTGGGTGCCAAGGGCGAGTGGGAGGGAGAATCAAGTGGGACCCCCCTTCACAAAGGAGATCTCATTGCTGTCCATTCATATACTCATTCCCAGGTACCTGAGTTGGAGCTGATGCCCCTGGAGACACCACAAGCCCTGCCTTTGATGCTAGTCCATGGTACATTCTGGAAGCATTGGCCATCTATTCTACTGAAGGGCTTGTCATGCCGAGGAAGGGCACACATCCACTTGGCCTCAGGATTACCTGGGGACCCTGGCGTCATCAGTGGTCAGTGTCACCTTCATCTATTCTATCCTCCCAGGTTCCCCACTAAGGGTCACAGCTTCCTTTGTGTGAGACCACTACACAGGTTTGCATGGAGCAATATCTCCCCACCCCACCACAGAGCCCCATTCTGCCCAGGTACCCCAGGTCCCAGTCTAGCTGTCCCCACAGGCATGCGTCCAAATTGTGAAGTGGTGGTGTTCATCGATGGACCCCTAGCCCTGTCAGGTGAGTGTGGACCCCCCAAGGGCTCTCCCAGATCTGTCGGAGAGGGGCACCAGTCACATCTCTGGCTCTGTGAGCAGATGGAATCCCCTTCTTCCGCTCTGCCAATGGGGTGATCCTGACTCCAGGGAATGCTGAAGGCTTCCTACTTCCCAAGTACTTCAAGGAGGCCCTGCAACTGCGACCCACCCGTGAGAACCAAATCACCACCTACCCTGTTTTCTAAAGCTTGTGCCCTTCTGCCCTCCAGCTCTTTGAAAGTTCCCCACCCCAGGCTGACTTATGTTCTTCTCTCTTAGCCGCTCTCGTCTCTTCCTCAGGAAAACCTCTCTCCTTGGCTGGGGATAAAGAGATGGAGGGTCAGAGTATCCCCGAGCACAGCTCCAGAGGAGGGAGAAGAAAGATCCAACAATAAAATATTTATTACAAAAAAATCTGAAATCAGTCGCAGAAAGAAAGTCCAGCTCGAAATCAGGATTCCTTGTTCCTTATCCATACCTGGCACTCTTCATGCGCTTAGGGACTACATATAGGTCAGGGTGTGTGAGCTTCGGGAGGGGCTCTGTGTGGTGGCAGCATCTACCCCAGCCAGGGCCCTGGCCTGCCAGTGACAGCAGGTGAAGGTGCTCAGTGTGGTGCATGATGGACGTGGTGGAGCAGTGAGTTCAGGTGGGCGTGGGCTTGCGAGGGTCCCCGGAGGGGGTGAGTGGAGCAGGGGCAGCCTGGTTGCCCTCAGAAGGCCTCATGGCCACCTGTAAGCTGCAGGAACAGATCCTCGTCCAGCTCCTCCCCGCGAGCCCGCTCTCGAGTGGACAGGAAAATGTAGCCGCCTATGTACTCGTGTACGATGCGGCAGCTAGCAGACACACAGCTGAAGGCTACGTTGATGTGTTCATCAAATTCAATGGCCACCTGCAGGTGGGAGGGTGGTCACAGGTCCAGTGGTTAGGGCAACAAGCAGCAGTTTCTGCCTTGCCCTGGTCGTGTCTGAGCTCGCCACCTGTCCCTGTCCCCGCCCTCCCTTGGGGCCTACCTGTCGAATGTCCCAGTTGACGTTCCACTGACGCATGTTGCTGAAGCGCCAGGTCTTGACCACATCCCCCACTGCCAGGTCAATGCGGATCAGTCTGTTGTTGGCAATGCCCAGGATCTCATCTTTCCTGCTGCCCTTGAACCTGATTGGGGGGGGTATGAGTGAGGCCCTGGAGCCCACCCTGTGTGTACACTGCTCCCGAACCCTCAGGGTAGAGTTCAGCCTCACCTGCCCCAGCTCTGCTGCCCTACAGCTGCTCAGCCTGAGGCAGCCAATCAGTTTCTCCTAGCTTTAAGCTCCTACTCTGAAAAAATGGGATTATTCATGGACTCATGTTAGCCAGCAAATGTCTGTCATCCCAGCAAAGGGGCTGGGCAGGGACTCACATCGACTCGATACATGGGGAATGAAGCTCTGCATGTATGAAGACCTGGGGTTGGTCCCCAGGACTGATTCCTGGGACAAGATAGACAGTCCGGGAGAGATTGCTCCGTGGATAAAGCTCTTGCCACACATGGGTAACCCTAATGCATCTGCACTGTGCGAGCTGGGAGGCAGAGACAGGAGTCTCTGGACAGTCTTCGGCTAGCTAGCCTGTGATACACTGTGACAAGTAAAAACTCGTTTCAAACAAGGGGAAGGGTAAAGACTCCTAGAGACTATCCTCTGACCCCCACATAACTGTGTATGGACACACGCACACAGATTTAAAATAAAAACATTAAGAAAAAAATAGTCGGAGTGGCGGTGGTGACGCACACCTTCAATCCCAGCGCTTGGGAGGCAGAGGCAGGCTGATCTCTGAATTTGAGGCCAGCCTGGTCTACAGAGCGAGTTCCTGGACAGCCAGAGCTGTTACACAGAGAAACCCTGTCGAGAAAAAAAAAAAAAAAAAAAAAGACGAGCAGGAGGGGTTAGCCCCTCTCAAGCCTGATGGCCTGAGCTTGTCCCCAGAAGCCATGTCGGAAGGAGAGAACTAGGCTCCTTCCTGTAAGTTGCCCTCTGACCTCCACATGTGCACATGCACAGAATAAGTAAGTTGAAAATGTAAGCTAGCGGGGTTGGAGAGATGGCTCAGCTGTTAAGAACACTTACAGTGCTTACAGAAGACCCACATGGGGGCTCTTAACTCCAGTTACAAGGGATCTGGTGCGTCTTCTGGCTTCTATGGGCATTCGGCACTGTATGCAGTACACACACACACACACACACACACACACACACACACACACACACACACATGCTGGCAAAACACTCATACAGGAAAAACAATCTTTTTTTGGTTTTTTGAGGCAAGGTTTCTCTGTGCAGCCCTGGCTGTCCTGTAACTCACTCTGTAGATTGGGCTGGCCTTGAACTCACAGAGATCTGCTTGCCTTTGCCTCCTAAATGCTGGGATTAAAGACATGTGCAAACACCTGCTGGCAAAAAACCCTAAATCTAAAAAAAAATGTAAAATACTCAGGAAGCAGAGGCAGGTGGATCTCTGTGAGTTAGAGGCCAGCTGGTTTACGGACAGAGTGAATTCCAGGACAGCCAGGGTTAAACAGAGAAACCCTGTCTTGAAAACACCCTCCCGGCCTCCCCAGGAAAACCAAGCAGAAACAAAGAAAAACAAGATGGACAGCCCCAGAGAAACAATACTCAAGCGTACACCGGCATACACAAATGCACACAAGGTGAGGGCATCACAACAGCATTTGGCAACATTAGGCAAACAGTTCCTGCCTCTAAGTAATGATCTTGTACGTATCATCCATCATCAACCACATGCCATTCATCTCTCTGCAGACTTGGAAACTGAGTTCTCAGGGTCCTCCCTATAGGACCAGGGACAGCTGGCCAAGGCCCAGAGAGGGAAGCATCTGTGACAGAGCCGGGATAAGCCCCGGGTCTTCTGCTTGCCTGGCATGAGTTCTGTCTCTTGGATACCTGTGACAGCGCACATTGGGGAATGCACGGAACCCCAGGGGAGGTTCACAGAGAAGCGGGGAGAGAGACACTGGGTTGTGTGCCTGGGCCCCATCTAGATGTGAGCACGCAGCAGCAGGCAGCAAGTGAGGGCAGAGACAGTGCTGTTTTGCAGGTCTGGGATCATACCTGACTATCACATAGGAGATGCCAAAGTCAGGCAAAGATTGCCAGGCCTGGATGAAGCGCAGCTGGGCCTCTACCAGTGAGAGCTGGGCCACATTCTGGTGAGCTTCCAGGATCCGGGGGGTGAGCTGTGGGGCCATACTGTTAAAGGACTCTTAGGGCCTCCCTTTATCTAAAGTCCCTAAGATCCCCTCCTCCCCCACCATCTCCCTGCCTGCCCTGTTGAGGGCACAGTACACTGAGTCTAAAGCAGGGGAAGGTAGCCATTGTGGTACCACCCAAGGTGCACATGTGGCCGAATCGGGCCCTACTCTAGACCTGGAACCCTTTCAGAGAGGTGCCTGAGACACACCAGAAGGAAGAAAGGAGCTCAGCGTTTCCTAAAGAAGAGGGTTTCCATTGGAGGCCCAGAGGTCACGGGTGGCTAGGTAAGCACTGTGGCAGTCCCCACCCCACATTTCCTCTGGCACCTGCTTGGCCTTGAACTTTCGCTGGAACCGGGGAGCCACAAGGCCATAGGGGTTAAGGCTCTCAGCAGGGGCTTCAGGGCCCTGGGGGTGGTTCCCTGAGCCTCCGCTGCCACCACCTGCCCTCTGCAGGCTAAGGAAAGCCAGAATGGCCTGCACCTCGCTGGCATAGCTGCTGTCCGCCATAGTACGGCCCTTGGAGGCCAGTCGGCAGGCAGCCATCCACTGTGCGTACTGCTGTTCCTGGGGCAAGAATAGAGAATGTGGTGAGTATGTTCTGCCCACGTTCACTTTTACTCTGAATGCCATTCCAGCCCTGCCCTCCCACTCCCGTTCCCCCTTTGGTTCAGCCTGCTCACATCCTGGCAGCGCAGGTAGATCTCACTCATGCCCTCTGGTGAGGGCACCAGGAGTTTGATGCAGAACTTCTGGCCAGAGACATTGACATCAGGGACTACCTCACAGCCTGCAAGGAGAAGGAGGTAGCTAAGGGGTTCCTGTATGGCTGGGTGGCGGTGGGGTTGTGCATACCTCTAATCCCAGCAGGGGCAGGCGGATCTCTGTGAGTTTGAAGTCAGCCTGGTCTACAGATTGAGTTGTAGGACAGGCTCCAAAGCTACAGAGAAACTTTATTGGGGGGGGGGTCCCTGTATGAAAGCCAGCCCAACACTCACAGCTGCCTCTGGGATCTCCCCAGGTCCCTAGGAGGAAAGGGAATTCCTCACCCTTGAGGTTGAGCTGTTGGATAGGATCCCCTGGTGCTTCATCCTGGCTCTTATAGTAGGACAGCGTGGTGTCCTTGAATACCACCCAGTGCTGGCGGTAGCCCTTCAGGGTCAGCTTCCTAGGCCTGGAGGGAGTAGGAAATTTGTGACCCATAGGCTCCCTGCCTTTCCCCTGCTCCTCTCTATCCAAGCAGGTCCTACACTTAACCTGAAGATTCGGAGATGGTCCTTCAGTTCCGGGATGGTGGTGAGGCCATCCTGGGGGAGGAGAGAAGTCAGAGGGAACCTTGGGTCCCCTACCTGGCCCTGACCCCAAACCCCAACCCCATTCCCAGGCCCAAGCCCCTCCTCACCAGCATGTCTGAGGGTGCTGACCCCTTCAGCTTCACTTCCAGGTTGTTCAGGGCTGCATCCAGGTCATCCAAACCCAGGTCCCCAGAGGCCGGCTCACCCACGTCCCCACTAAGGGACAATTTGTTGATGTGGTACTAGGGACACATAGTCAGAGCTGAGTCTGAGGCCCATCTGCCCCACAGAACTCCCATGCAGGACTTCTTTGGAGATGGACTCCCTTCTGGGAGGCCTTCTGACCCTCCCCCTAGCACCCCGGGGGCCCCCAAGCACCTGCAGGGCAGCAAACACCATCATCTCCTCCTCGGTGCAGTCGATTTCCTCAGTCAGCAAGTCCCAGCGGGCTTGCTCATACAGCTGGGTGAGCCGCACTGGGTCTGTCTGGAGCAGAGGGGGGTCAGTGAGCCCTGTCTCTACCCTGTGGGCCTCTCCACTGCCTGGGCAGGCAGTGTAGCTCTCTCCATAAACTCTGCTCTATTGTGTACAGGCCAGCCTCCTGTTGAAGCTAGGCAAACGAGGGAGACAGGCCCTGAATGAAGTGCTCCCAGAATAGGAAGAAGACAGCTTCCCTGGGCTAGCTCCCTCAACTCATCTCAGGAGATGCAGGCCACAGGAAAGCACTCCCTCATCTCAGGAGATGCAGGCCACAGGAAAGCACTCCAGCAAGGTTTCCTGATGAAGTCACCCCCAGGGTGACAATGGACCACTAAAGAGAAGAATGAGCGAAAGGACTCTAGAGTCAAGGAACAGGGGTAGCCTAC